GCCTCGCTCTGTTGCCCAGGCTGGAGAGCAGCAGGGCCATGTCGGCTCCCTGCAACCTCCACCTCCCGAGTTCAAGAGATTCTCCTGCCTCAGCCTCCTGAGTAGCTGGGATTATAGGCACGCACCACCACGCCTGGCTAATTTTTGTACGTTTAGTAGAGACGTGGTTTGGCCGTGTTGGTCAAGCTGGTCTTGAACTCCTGACCTCAGGTGATCCACCAAAGTTTTGGTATTACAGGCGTGAGCCACCGCGACGGCAAGTTTTATAAACTAGACAAAACTCAACGACTAAGCCTTCTTAGAGTGAAAGGTTTTGACAGAATGCGGACTTCATCTGAAGTTAGGACCCCAAAGGCACAATGGACATATTGACAGCGGTAACTGAGTATCTCCCATGAGCAAACAAGCACTCGGGAGAAATTATTAGATCTAAGTCGGACCCAAATTCTTACAACAGCTAAAGGGCTTGGCAGTTTGTCCCCCTAAACTGTAAGCCACTTTTGGGTAAAGATCGAGTCTCAATTGTTGTGTAATTCTCTGGGTGTTTTTCATGAGAAAAATCCCACATTTTTTCCCCCTTGGTTCCTTTCTTCATTCAACAGATTTTACTGTTTATGCCAACTACTGGACTGAGGAGGAATAAAACACAATTCTTGCATTGAAAACGGATTGATAAATTGACTGAAGCATATTAAATAAAGCAATTCTGGGTACATGGGATGGTGATCTTTGTCCTTGTGGGAAACTGATTAGAAGCTATGCAGGAAATGACTCCTCAAATAATGCATGTATTGAGAAAAATCTCCTACCGGCTGGTGCCTGGACTAAAGAATATTTAATTACTTAGGAGATATGTGGGTGGTTTGTCTGACAAAGACTTAGCTGTCAGTCATTGAAGGCCTGGGAGAGAGTACAATGAAAGACAGAAAACCAGGAGCATTAGGAGCGCAGTAGGTTTAAGACAAGGGAAGGGCTGGTTAAGGCAGGTCTTGTTGCTGCATGGAATCATCAGATGAAGAAGCCCAAAAGACAGCAGCACAGTCTTCAGACACTTGGAGCTTAGAGGAAGAGTTTAGAGCAGCGAAATTGACAGCAGAATTATGGAAGTCAGCATTTGCATCTTGAGGAGCAGCCATAAGGCTGGTTCTAACCTCTTAGACTAAGGGAACAGAGGCCTAAACAGAAAGCATGCAACTTTTTCCGTGGCCGGAATGGCTCTAAGGAAGATGTTGGTTTGATATACAAAGGTTGAAACAATTCTAAAGATGTACATTTGCCTGTCTTCTTTAAAACACTGTTTTACAAATCTTTCATATCCAAAGATTCCCACATATTATAACAGAGTAACTGGTATGCTTTAAGTGGGCCCATGGTTCTAGAGAGGATACAATGGCAAAGAGAGGGGCCACAGCAGGGCATAGAAGTGTCCAGAAATCCAGAGGAAGTCTTCAGAGAAAAAATGCTTGATCCCCTCAGGGGTGCCAGTGGAAATCAGCTCAACCCTGCATTTACTAAGTGCCTACTAGTATTACAATGAATTATTTCAACAACTTTTTTTTTTTTTTTTTTGAGACGGAGTTTCGCTCTTGTTATCCAGGCTGGAGTGCAATGGCGCGATCTCGGCTCACCGCAGCCTCTGCCTCCTGGGCTCAGGCAAGTCTCCTGCCTCAGCCTCCTGAGTAGCTGGGATTACAGGCACGCGCCACCACGCCCAGCTAGTTTTTTGTATTTTTTAGTAGAGACGGGGTTTCACCATGTTGACCAGGATGGTCTCGATCTCTTGACCTCGTGATCCACCCGCCTCGGCCTCCCAAAGTGCTGGGATTACAGGCTTGAGCCACCCCGCCCAGCCTTTCAACAACTTTTTAAGACCCTGTGTATGTACCTGAGACACAAAAATAAATGATATATGGCAATTTGGTTTAGTAACAAAGTTAAACTCGTAAACAATAAATGTCAGATGTCATGCTAAAATTATGCACAAAGTACTCAGGTTGGTACAATAATAGCTGGAGGAGGGTGTTTAGAAATCAGGGGAAAGGTTTATAAACGAGATTATTTTATTTCTTAAAAGATGAGTAGGTGTTTGCCAGGTGGATGTAGTGAGGCAAGACTGGTAGGGAATGTTTCTGTCAAAAGAAGTGTCTTTAAGGTAAAAAATCTTCCAGTATTAATAAAACATAGGGTTAAAGAGAAGAGAAACATAGAAAGAAAAATGAGGTTGTCAGGCAGGCTCTAGATCATAAAATGGTGTGTTTGCAAGAGCCTATGGTTAAATTTTCAAGAATTTCAAGAGACAGATATTAAACTCAGTCATTCTTAGCAAGTAGGTTATATTAACTTACTCTTAAACTATATTACAAAGAAAAATTACTCAGAGTGGACCACTTCCTGACATATTTTGCTACATTTTACTGTTACCTATGTTTAGAATAATTGCGTTTATTGTCTCTATATGGTGTAAATACTATGTGATGGTGTGCTACTGGGCATTTCCTCCCAGCTTTGCATTCAGAGATGTCATGAAGTAGTGTGAAACCAACCAGAGCAGGAATATTTATGCTGTGAATGTTAGCAAATACAACAAGTCAGGGCTCCACCTTACCACCAAAAGCCACTTCTTAAACTGGCTTTCTGAACTGGCTTTTGATTGTTAAACCAGCCTTGCATGAACTCATGTATCATGTAAGATTTTCAGCTTTTTCATAGAGAAAGAGAATGATCAATCTGATTTGGGTGAATGAAAAGGAGACAGTCAGAATGACTCACAAGTTTGACTTGTATAACAGAAGCAATGGTGGCGCCATTTATTTTAAGAGGACTCGAAGGTGGGAAGATACATAAAGTGGAAAAGATAATAAGGTTTGGATTTACTGCATTTGGGAAGCCCATGTTCCACCCCAGTTCATTAAGCAGTTGGTTTTATGGGTCTGGAGCTCAAGAGAGTCTAGACTGTAGGTATGTACTTGAGTCACCTGCATGCAGGTAGTAGTTTAAACCATGAACATGATGATGTTGCTCAAGGTGAGTAAGTAGCAAGAGAAGACTGTCAAGGCCAGAACTCAAGAAATATCAACATTATAAGGTGGGCAAGGAAAAGGAGCCAGTAAAGGAGTTGATATTGCATGTCAGAGATGCCTGAGGACAAACAATCTCAAAATAAAGTTCCTGAGCTCAGTCGTCCTTTGAGAGAAGGAAGCTAGGATATAAGCTGAGAATTTCAAGGCAGTAAGTAGTATCAAAAAGGCATAGAGAGATTACTGTTGACAAGAGAGTCCAGGGGACCTAGCAACAAGCTTCCTGAAAAAGAGACGGGGATGAGTACGGAGAAACTGACCTTTGAGATTCTTCTTTAGTAGATGCTTATCTAGCTGCAAAACCCGGAAAGCCCAGGAAAAAGGGAAGACGAAATGGGAAAGTATATTTTCCCCAAAAGATACATTTGGTTAAAAAAAAATTGCTCGAAATTTTCTAGGTATATTCTCCAAATACACCAAAGCATTCCATTTTTTTATCCAACCATTACACATACTACATGATTGTTTCTAAACTAAGAATGTACTTGAGATCTGCATTGAGAGAGGATCTTAAAAAGGTATATGGAAATTCCACCCACTTTTTCCTCAACCCCAGAACATAAGAATGCTTTAGATTTTTTTTAAAACTATTCCAAATTTAATGAGTATTTGACATATTTAATTTAGGGACTATCCTGGGAATAGTTACATGGCAAGTAATTCTTTCAGTTTCCTATCTCCGTACTTTATAAAACTCAGCGTTGCCCAGAGCTTTTTTCTTCTACTCCTCCAGAGATTTTTCTATTGGTTGTTTGGAGAATGGTATACTGTTTAGATTTGTATATGGAAATGCCTCTAATATCAACAGATGTAGCAAAAGCAAAATATATTACGTGGCTTCACTTAGCCTTCCTTTCAAATGATATTTAACCTCATCCCTTTCTGTTGTGGATGCTGGGATTTAGAGGGGTCTATTGTCACTTTTTAAATAATGACTAAGTTCCAGAGGCAAAGGCACTGAAGGGCTGCCAGCTATTCATGCATTTTACACGTCACTGAATACATGGCATGAAATGGTTTCGGAAAGGAGCTTTGGGAAAAACTAGAAAAAACAAGTAATAGTGCACTAAAATACACTAAATCTCATGGATGCGAACTCATTTGGAATCTGTCATGTTAACTTCTGCAAAGCTAGATTAACTTTTAAAAGATTTTCCTATCTTTAGATCATAAAGTTTCCCTCTCTTTTTCTGTTTTAAACTATTAGCATTTGAAAGAACACCATCAAACATTCCTATTTGGGATCTTGTGGTCGGGATGGTCAAACCCAGAGCTCAGCTTCAGAAGCCCTACCCACTTCCCTTTCTATGCCTTCATGGATTGTGTCTTCAGTCCCCGACTAGACTGTGTGCAAAAAGATAGTGCCTACTGTGTCATTGTTCCCAACGTGTTGTGCTTATTTAGACCTTAAACCCTATTATCTAGGTTTACGTCATTTTACAGAAGAGGCTGAGACTCAGCGAGGTCAGTTGCTTCAGTTACAGAAGTAGTAAACGATGAGCTAGAATTAAAAACAAAGCTCATCTCTGCCCTTAACCATTATGCTATACTGCCTCTACATATGTATTATGAATCTCAAATCATATTTATTACATTTTGTTATGTTTAAATGCAGAAAACCATCATTGGCAAGGGCCCCTGCCTTCATGTTCCTAACAAGCCTCACACGTAGCAACGTCTAGGCAAAATAAGTCCTTGAATAGCCAGTGTCATCTTCTATCAACCCACTCCAGCACCAGGCACTGCGGCACACAGAGAGAGAGATCATCTTTGTGGTTTGTGATTTTTGTCCAGTATAAAAGATAACCCATGGATTGTAGTTTAATTGCTCTGTAGGACATAAACCAGTTCTGTATCTGTGGAGAGCCCTCAACACCATCCCCAAATTCGAAGACTTGCTAGGAAGACTCCTAAGACTCTGCATACAGTTCTGCTCATTGCCATGATTTATTACAGTGAAAAGATACAAAACAAAATCAGCCAAGGAAAAAAGACACATGGGGTGAAGTCAGGGGAAACTAAGTGCAGGCTTCCAAGAATCCTCTGCCAGTGGAATCACAGAGGATGAGTTTAATTCTCCCAGCAACCAGTTGTAACAGCATTTGTGAAAGGTTGTCAACCAGAAAAGCTTACTAGAGATGGAGTGCCAGGGGTTTTTACTGGGAGCTAGTCACAAAGGGCAGTCTCTGCCTGGCACATACCAAACTTCCAGACTCCCAAAAGGAAAGCAGGTGTTCAGCAGAAACTATATTGTTCTACAGTTTAGATACAGTAAGGTACTTTGATCAGTTCTGGGAATGGTGGAAGCCCCCTGAACTCCAGATTCCCAGAAGCCAATCAAGGGCCAACCTTGCAAATCCGGTCTCTAAGGATAAGTAATCAGGTCTGCTTCATTAACACTTTTTTTCTGCACAGCAATTTTATCTCAACATTTTTCTTCAATGCCAATTCTCAGTTTCTTGAATTGTACTTGGAACCAGCTTTACTATCTGCTGGGTCCCTGATTAATGAGTTGAGTAAGTCTTTGATACATGCTCATTTTATGTACATGTATATATGTGAGTCATGTCAACTTAATAAAAGGTTTGACAGATAATAACCTAATGAAGCTAAACAAAGTCCAGCCAAAATTAATGGACAAAAAAACATTAACTCAGTAATATCAAAATTCACTCTGCACCTCATTTTAGTTATTTAGGAAAAAAAAAAAAGCCTTTATACTTACATTTCACACTTTCTTACTGACTTTAGAAAGCCTTCTGATTTAGGTGGCAATCACTTGCCTAGTTGTACTTAGGGCAGTATTAATGAAATAATGAATGTTTCTGCAAGGAAGCAATAATATACAAAGATCAATTTCCTCTTTAGTTTTACCAATCAGAATATTAAAATGCTACATTGTTTCAGATGAAATTCCCCATTTAAATATATGACACATAAGCCAACATTTAGAAATAGCTCCTTGTGTCACTAGCTTTTGAGTCTTTAAAAAAAGCCTTAAAGTTTCAATATAATGTGCAGCTTATATAACGTACATATATAATACTTTATATATTATATATTAAGTAGCATCCTTATTGTGAACTTTGTCATACTTCTGAAATTTCTCCAATCATTTCAAATTTACTTCAATAAAAATTTCCCTGTATTTTGTGAACTGCATTTTAAAATCAGAATGTTACAAATTTCCATCTATAATAAAAAAAATTCATGCTTTATTAATAATTCTAATTAGAAAAGGATGCAATTAAGAGCTGACATAGCTAACATAAACCTAAGAAAGGTAAACTTTTCTTGAATAAAAAAATAGGAAATACTTCAATGAAAAAAAAATCAAGAACAAAAGGAAGGAGAAATTTTTCTAAACAGTACCTGTTCCTTCTTCACAATTTGCATTACTTGTGCAAATACATCATTAAATAAATACTCATCTGATATTTACAAAATAGAGGTAAGAGAAAAACCTAAACTATCAGGATCTTTCATTTGTTATTCCTCTTCCAATCTTCCGGATACATTACATACCAACTAAACACGTGATACTAGTTAACTATAGTTGAAAGCTTATCAATTAAATCATCAATGGTGTAAACAAGAAGCTGAATGTCTGCTTTTTCCTTCATTCGGTGATCACTATGTTTTCGGAGGATGACATCCACATCTGTGCTGAGTACTCGGTCGGCAACCTGCATTGATGTATGCCAAGGTACAATATCATCCTTCATGCCATGGAGCAGTCTTATAGGGCAGTTCACAGGAATTGGGCTATGTAACAAGCAGTGGTGTTCGGCTTCTTTAATGAAACTGTACTGAATGTGATAAACTCCTTCTTCATGGTATTTTGATGGCATGCTCCACACACCTTTCATCTCGACTTCCTTTTTTACCTATGGAAAAAAGAAAAATAAAGTATTTGTGACTTTATGCAATACTAACACATGCGATAGCTTTAAGTAATCTAAAAAAGGCAGTTCTTGAATGAGAAGATAGAGATAACAAAAGTATAATAATAATTTTCAATAATTAATTACTATGCAAGGTACTATGATGGGTATTACATACATATTATTCCATAAAATTCTGATAATAATTCTGTTATTATCCCATTTTTATAAAAGAGGACATTAAAGTTTAGATAAATGAAATATTGTGCTCAACAGTTGAGGGCCTGGCTACTAACTGTTATGACTAAGACTCAAACTTGAATTTAAATTTATCTAACTTTATCATACACTATCTTAAATCAGGTGTTGCTTCACCCCAACTGAAAAGAAAAATGAAGTGGGAGAAAAGTATTACAATTTCTTGGAATCAGTCCAGGTATCATTCATATTTGTATAAAATCAAATTATACACATACTTATGCAATTTTAGGCTGAACATAAAAAAATAGTTTTCCTTCCAAAGTCCTAGAAAAAAAAAATCTGATTTTTGTTTTGGACGACAAAGAAGGCTTCCACATACTTCCTGAAAATCAAACAATAATATGTGTACGTTGAATCCCATAAAATGAAACATACATGTCCTTGACTTTTTGAGAACTTATTTTTTACATTATATTTTATCTTAATGTTTCTAATTAAAAAATGAGAATTTTGTATGAGTAACATACAGACATTACAGAAAACATAATAATAATTTTTAAAAAAGAAATAAACCACCCATAATTTTATCTTATGGATAGAAAAACCATTAATATTCTGGCTTATTTCTTTACAGTATTTGTCTATATGTGTTTTGGTTTCTATATAAGTAAAATGCAAAATACATACATATTACATACTCATATACAGTTTTCTATGCTGCTTTATTTAACACACATATTTCTGGGTTTAAAAAATTATATGAAAAGGTTTTAAATGCCACACTGCCATCCACTGTAATTGACTTAATTAGCTTGATCATCTCAAACTGTTGGATACTTTCATCTACACTTTTGAGCATAAAAGTTTATTTATATATATAGACAATCAGAGCTTAAAACTAAAAAAAAAAAAAAAATCAAGCTATGAATAGTTTTAAGACTTTTGCAATTAAATGATATGAAGGGCATTTCTAGAAAAATGGAACGGACATCTTATTAAAAATTTTTAAAAAATAAGGAAAGAAAAGCTATACATATTTGAAAAATTTAAAGTTTCACAAATATACTGTGATTCTTCCATGTTTAAAATTGTTTATTGCAAATGTAAAAAGGAAAACAAGAACTTAAAATATATAATATAATCTACATGTACTTTAGGCTTTTAATGTATTTTTTTAATTCCAGAAAGATTTAATTATTCAGTTAAAAAAAATCATACTTCGGGCCGGGCGCGGTGGCTCAAGCCTGTAATCCCAGCACTTTGGGAGGCCGAGGCGGGTGGATCACGAGGTCGAGAGATCGAGACCATCCTGGTCAACATGGTGAAACACCGTCTCTACTAAAAAAAATACAAAAAATTAGCTGGGCATGGTGGCACGTGCCTGTAATCCCAGCTACTCAGGAGGCTGAGGCAGGAGAATTGCCTGAACCCAGGAGGCGGAGGTTGCGGTGAGCCGAGATCGCGCCATTGCACTCCAGCCTGGGTAACAAGAGCGGAACTCCGTCTCAAAAAAAAAAAAAAAAAAAAAAAAAATCATACTTCTAAATATGTCTTCAAATGATTTAAAATTAAGCAAATTCTACAAAATTATAAAATGCATAACTCTATATTAATATCACGGTGTTTTCTGTATTAAAACAACATATGAACCAAATATTTAAAGTAAAGATGACATTCAGTTATCCTCAAGTTACTCAGGATTATTCCTGAAATTTGTAAATATTTCAGTAGATTAGTTCCACTGGTTATTAACTGAAGTGGAGGCTTTGCTAATTAATGGGACACTAAATTGACAATAGTTTCATTTTAAGCATCCCTAGCCCCCAACTAGCTCTGTTACCTGCCACTGAATTGAACAAAAATGGGTCTATTTGAAGAACAAAGTTAACTTTATAAAATGTTTTATGTCTCAAATCCTCAAGAACAAAAAGTTTGGAAACAGCAAAAACATTACCTAAAGAAAATGTACAATATATTAAGCTCTACACTAAGAAAACTTATCAAAGCAATATAGTTCAGAAGCTTACACTCCAAACAGCTGTGCATCATGTCTCAGGCCCTCTAGTGTCCAAAGAAGGAAATAATGAATAGAGTCAGTTAAAGACGAAGGTCAATGAGGAATGCTGGGCTTAATATTCGCTAGATTATAAGAGATGGTAAAAATCTCCACATCTGCTCTGTTGACATTGTTAGGGCTAGCTGTTTATGTGGAGAAGAAACAGTGGGCTTAGTGTTCCTGCTCTTTCTTTATATATGCTTTTAAGTTAACCAAGGGCTCAACATGCTTCTGTTAACAACTGCTTATCTGATTAAGTATTAGCAAAACTATGCCCTGATTTGCAGATTATAAATCTTCTCAGCCACTTAGGAAGTATCTACTCTATAGTCACTCTGAATGATGTGAACACACACACACACACACACACACACACAGAAATGTACATGGCTGAGCACAGTGGCTCAGGTCTGTTATCTCAGCACTTTGTGGGGCCAAGGCAGGAGAATCTCTTGAGCCTGGGAGTTCAAGAACAGCCTGAACACCACGGAGAGACCCAGTTTCTAAAAAAAAAAAAGAAAAAAAAAAAAAATACAAAAATTAGCCAGGCATAGTGGTGTGCACCTGTGGTCCCAGCTACTCAGGAGGCCGAGGTGGGAGGATCTCTAGAGTCTGGGAGTTCAAGGCCGTAGTAAGTGACGACTGCACCACTGCACTCCAGCCTCGGCAATAGAGAGATACCCTATCTTAAAACCCTCCAAAATAAAAACAAAACCAAAACAAATGTACAGAGGTGTTGTCATTTACCAATAATGAAAAAATACAATCAATTTCCCAACCCCCCCAAAATCAACTCCTTTTCAATCTGCCATGTCCTTGAGATAATTTCCTACCCCAGGAACTGCTGTATTATTGAGTTAAGAGGATGATCCACGTTTAGATCCACAAAATGGCAATGGTGGGAAACATGAAGACACTGAGCAACTATGTATGAGAAACCACCAAGAAAGTGAACAAAATTCAGAAACAGGAGATAAGTTCAAGGAAGACCAGCTTTGTAATTTTAGCCCTGATAGGAAATAACATGAGAAATCTGAATACACACACAATGCTGTTTCTTAAGGAGCTGAGAACAACATAAACTAAGAAAGAACTCAGATAATACGTGGCACAGGTATTAATGCAGAACTTGAGGTAAATCAATGACATTCTACTATTCAACACTACATACCTTTTTTTCTTTCTTTTTTTTTTTTTCATGAACTTCCTTCTCCTCTTCTTCCATTTTCTAAAGCATTGTTCTCAAACTTTACAACAGATTTATCAAAATATAGACTGCTGGGCCGTATCCCCACTTTCTGATTCAGGGTAAAACCCAAGAATTCAGGTTTCTAACAAGTTCTCAGGTGCTACTGCTGCTGGCCTAGAAACCGTATTTTTTAAACTACTGCTCTGTTTTCTTCAATTTCTGTGTCTCTCTGACTCTGACTGACAATATCTGTCTGGAGAGTTCTGTTGAGAGGATCTGAGGCTGCTTTTAGGCTAAAACAAAGAGAGCCAGCTCTTCATATTCATGGTTTCTGCATCCATGTATTCAACTAATTTTGGATCAAAAATATCCAGAAAAAAAGATTACATCTGTATTGAACATGTACAGACTTTTTTCTTGTCTCTATTCCCTAAACAATATAGTATAACAACAATTTACATAGTACTTACATTGTACTAGGTATTTTAAGTAATCTGGAGATGATTTAGATTATATGAGATTTTGTGCAAATACTACACCTTTTTTTTTTTTTTTTTAAATGAGAGACTTGGCCATCTATGGATTCTGGTATTGTGGGAGGTCTTGGAAGCAATCCCCTTCAGATACCAAGGGATGACTAGTTTCAGTTGATTAGCCCAATCTAACCCAGTCATAACAACAGGCACTACTTCCCATACGCCACAAAGTAGGAGGAGCAAAAGGAGTTCACGACGTATGCTCCAAATACGTAAATGTAATTAATAAAGAAAATGTTGCTAAAAAAATAAACTTCAAAGTGAGTTTTTTTTTTTTTTTTTTTTTTGAGATGGAGTTTCGCTCTTGTTACCCAGGCTGGAGTGCAATGGCACGATCTCGGCTCACCGCAACCTCCGCCTCCTGGGTTCAGGCAATTCTCCTGCCTCAGCCTCCTGAGTAGCTGGGATTACAGGCATGCGCCACCATGCCCAGCTAATTTTTTGTATTTTTTAGTAGAGACGGGGTTTCACCATGTTGACCAGGTTGGTCTCGATCTCTCGATCTCGTGATCCACCCACCTCGGCCTCCCAAAGTGCTGGGATTACAGGCTTGAGCCACCGCGCCCAGCCAAAGTCAGATTTTGTTAATGTGTCTCAAATCTTTGGCAGAATGATTTGAAGCGACTGTGAAGAAAGGAAATCTTAAAGAAAATAATGCCAAATAATTAAAGGTAGAAAAGAGATTGTGTACTGAAAGGCAGCTAAGACAAACGATGGGCCAGCATAGTAAGTCAAAGGACTCATTATGTTATCTGTCCCTCCTTCCTTCAAAGAAAGAGAGAACAGAAGTATGAGGTAAATATACTGAGGTGGCCAAAGTGACTTTTGACTTACCTCAACAGGAAGCTGATTAAACTGTGTCACCAAGCCATCTGCAGCTGTAGCTACACCAATAAGAGCCATGACCTTTTCTGGTCGTGCAATTGCAGCATGAAGCATAAGCCACCCCCCGAGGCTAGATCCAACAAGAATCTAAAAATAAATAAAGTTTTAGGTCTTTAAGATAGTATAGGGTATAAACATAAAGTATGTACAATAAAAAGTAAAATAATATATACTATTAGAAAGTAAAAATAACACAATAATTTAAAATCAAATATCAAAACTGATTAAACATTCAATTTAAATAAAAACATTTTCTTTTTTTTTTTTTTTTTTTTGAGACAGAATTTCCCTTTTTGCCCAGGCTGGAGTGCAGTGGCATAATCTCGGCTCACTGCAACCTCTGCCTCCTGGGTTCAAGCAATTCTCCTGCCTCAGCCTCCTGAGTAACTGCGATTACAGGCGCACAACACCACACCTGGCTAAATTCTGTATTTTTAGTAGAGATGGGGTTTCGTCATGTTGGTCAGAATGGTCTTGAACTCCTGACCTCCAGTAATCCACATGCCTCAGCCTCCCAAAGTGCTGAGATTACAGGCATGAGCCACCATGCTCAACCAAATATTTTCATATCTAAAGAAACAGTTTAAATATGAGGTTATAGTCAGTAACTATCATCATACTTCACAAAAACAGTCACCTGTGGCCCTTCAGCTAAGTCATCAATTATAGAAAGAACATCTTTTCTCCATTTCCCCAACGTGCTTTCCTCAAGGTTACCATCTGAACTTCCAACTCCTGAGTAATCAAACCTGGAAAAGAAGAAAAAAAAAACGGTATTTGCTTCTTTAATTTTTAAGAAAGACAGCACCTTCCTCATTCCTATAATGCTTATAGTAAAATATCACAATCGGTATGTATTTTAGCAAATTCTATTGGCTTATTAACTTTCAAATATCTCCTATGTCCAATCACTTTTCTCACCTCCACTGCTACCAGCCTGGTCCAAGTTACACTGTCTCTCCACTGAACTTAGCCAACAGTCTCCTAAAAAGTCTCCTGTTTGCATTTTCACACTCATAGTCTTTTTCTATAGAGTGATCCCTTCCAAACAAAACCATGTCTTGCAAACCCTCCAAAGGCTTTCAATAATCTTTAAATCTAGAGTCCTTATCATACTTTGGTGCCTGATCATCTCTCTAATCTCCTTTCTCATTGTTTTCTCCCCCTCTAACGCCAACTGTAACCTCACTTTCCTTCTTGAAGTTCCTGTTTCATCATCTTTTCTCTTCACATGGCACACTCTCCTCCAGATATGCATGCAGATTGTTCCCTCACTTCACTCAGGCCTTTGGCTCAAATGTTACATCCTCAGAAAAGCCTCCCATGACCACTCAACTATTAAAGCTGTGCTTCTTTCACCATTCTCTAATTCTTTACTCTGCTTCATTTTCTTCATAGCACTTATTATTACTTGAGATATATTTGATTATTTATGGTCTGTCTCCCACATTAGAATGAAAGCTTCACATGCGGACAAGCTTTGTTTCAATGTACTCCTAGTGTCTAGATCAGTTCCTTGCAATGGTAGGTGCTTGGTGTATATTTACTGAATTAATGGATGGGAAGGAGATCAAAATAAAATTCATCATCACCAAGCCATCCATTTCTCCTTTCAACTTCTTAGTTATCTAGGCTCAAAGTCTGTCTGGTCTATGAATTTTACCTCTCCTTAAGGGTGTCAAATCAATAAAAAAATCATGGTGATATAAAGTATCATACCACACCCACAGGTTACCTAAACCCTAGTCATACTGAACTACTTCTAATCCCCAATTACATCCTTTTATAACTTAGAGCCTTAGCATGTGGTTCTGCTGCCAAGAATGGCTTCCTCCCCAACCCAAATTCGTGGTCATCCTTTAAGTCATGTCACCTCCTTTGAGGAACTTTACTTGACATTTATGCCCCATTTAGTACCAGTTTCTTTGTATCTACTCAATACTTTTCATATTGTATTAAAATCAAGTTTGTTTTTAAACATTCATCTCCCTCTGACTAGAATGTCAGTTCATTAAGGGCAGACTGTTTCATTCAAGTTTGTTTTTCCAGGCTCCAGAATACTGCTTGCTCTATACCATCACCATTCATTCTCATCTCTTCTTATGTTCATCCCTTTCTTTGCACTTTGGTTAAGTCCAGTATCTTGGTGCAGGTGTGTGTTTGTCATCTTAGACCTAGAGTATCACAGTAACCTTCTACCTTGTGTCTCTATGACTCTGTTTTTAAATAGAGTCACTATATACATGTCAGGTTTTTTCTTTAACATTATATTGATATAGCATTAACTTCAGGGCTCCCTGCAATATACAACATAGTGCCGGAGAATCTATTTCCAAAATGTACTCCAACCTTCAGAATAAGAACAGATTTTACAAGGGTTCTGAGCATGAAAATAAAATAATCCAGTTAATTTGGTAAAACAAATGATTAAATCCATATAATTGACCAAATTTCTGCTAATACACAGGTAATCCAGAAGTTTTATATATAGTTATATTTTCTAGAATTATTGAATGAATGTTAGTGAGTCACTCTTCTAAAAATTTAGATGGATAGATTTTTAGACTGTTAGTGCTAGAAAATAACTCAGAAGTTATCTGTAGACCAAGCTCCTTCTTTTGATGACAAACTTAGGTCCAACATTTATTAACTTACTTGTCTTGTAATTGAAATTGCTAGAATTTATTGTAGAACCCATGTTTCTTGAATTCTAGGCTAATCTTTTTATGAAATCATACCATCTCTTCTGGAAAGTAGATACTGAATATATGACTGTATAGGTAGACCTTATAAAAATATAAAGTTATTTACTAAAATAACTGTCAGTATGAAAAATTAGGAATTATAAAATCCAGCTTTAGTAAAATACCACCTATCCCTATTTATGCTTATACAATATCAAATTACAGGAGAGGGAAGAGAAAATTTAGCAGAAATTTGTATTATATTTCTTTTAAATACATGGATTACTTTTAGATAAACAGTGATCAAGTAAGTCCTTAAGTCTCCAGTGGAAAATGATAATATAAGAGACTGTATGAAAGCCAACTAGTATATCTGTTTGTTGTTACATTCATTATTGCCTCTAACGAGCTTAGTTAACACTACTTCTCTTAAGATGTCCTTTCTTGCCAGGGTTGTCAGTGTGGCACAAAGGCCTTTAAAAAAAGGTCTATTTAAGGTTGCTTTTAAAATTACTCTAAATCACAAGATGCAAGTTTACAGGCCATTAAAATAATTTATAAAAAGGCTGGCATTTACTTCAACTGGTTAGAACAGAAGTAATTCTCCACTGTTGTGCTAATGGTAGCAATCATTTTCTCAGTAATGTGTTGCTCCTACCTTATGTAGGCGTGACCTAGAGATTTGCAAAACTCCTCAATCGCCAATGCTTTTGTACCATTCATATTAGAAATATAGCCAGGGATGAAGATAATTCCTGGACTTTTGCCTTTTAGCCTCTTATAAGCCAGTTTTGGAAGGTCTGGTCGATTAAGGAAAGAGAGTGACGTCTTGTGTCTGCAAGCTAAACAAAGTACACAAAACATAAGCTATGGTTTGCAAATTCGGTCGTTGAAAAACTATATATATTTTCAATCCTAACTTTCTTATCTTAATGAATTGATGTAAAATGCTATTTCCATTTAATAGGAAAAACAAAAACAAACTCAAAGTACTAAATTAATAAGTCTGTGCATGAGATTTCTAGTTTTAAAATCATGCCAACATCAGTACCTTCTTTGAGCAAGATCCAACCTTGATTCTTCCAAAATACACAATGAGGTAGCAGTTTTAAGGCAACAAAAGACAGAGACTAATCAAAAAAATCTTCCTGTAGCTACTTTATCATCTATCCTAAACAGTATCAATCAACATTCACATTTATCCGCAACAGTTTCAGCCCTCTCTTGTGAGATTTTTGGACTCATTTTAAAATTTATTTTTTGTTTGATGAGTTTCACATCCCCTATTTTATTTTTCTTTTTTTTTTTTGAGCAGAGTGTCACCTTGTCACTCAGGCTGGAGTGTTGTGGTGCAATCTTGGCTTATGGCAACCTGGACTGCCTTGACTTCCGGGCTCAAGCCATCTTCCTGCCTCAGCCTCCCTTAGCTGCACTACATGCATGTACCAGCGCACCTGGCTAAATTTTGTATTTTTGTGTAGAGACAGGGTCTCTCTATGTTGCCCAGGCTGATCTCAAACTCCTGGGCTCAAGTGATCCTCCCACCTTGGCCTCTTAGTGCTAAAATTACAGGTGTGAGCCACTATGCTTAGCCTTGCATCCCTGACTTTATTGGGGATCAGGGAAGACACAGGTTTGGTCTGCCCCTTGAAAACTGTTTCAAAGGAAGAGGTGCTGTGCCTTTTTTTTACTGACTCCCATCCACCCCACCTGCTCACCCATCCATCCACCTCAACCAAGAAATCATGAGCCACAGTAACAAGTCATAATTTTATATCAGCTGAGGTGGTTTCAATGAGCAGTTTCTTTAAAAATAACATATTAATAGTACATTTTTGGAAACAGATTTCTTATAGGCCTATGCAATCACTTTGCATTTTATTTGTTTGGTTTTCTGTAAATGGAACACACAGATTTTAGTGTAATTTAAATATAACAGTACACTTGATGAACTTTATAAGAGTATTCCATTTCATCATTTTTCAGATTTTCCATTATAAAATCCATACTTGCTCTTAAGAAACAAGCAGATTTTTTTTTTTAAAGAGTCATTTATAATCCCACCTCTTCTTTCCAAAGACACTAGGTTTGTATAGTTCCTTAAGGTCTTTGGACTAACAAATTTTCTTTTTTTATATTAAATGAAGCCATCCTCCACTTTGAAAACTTGTCTGTCGTGAGAAGAGAATCCATGTGTGCTGCTAAAGTTTTCCCCATTTTGTAATTAGGAAGCTGATTTTTAAAAAACTTAAACTGAAGGCCTTAAAGCTATCCTTTTTACATGTAAGCCTGTTTCAAAGTATAGAGAAAAACGCCAAATTTAAAACTTTGGTAAGGGCAAGTTATGATGACTCACTGATTGTGTCAGCAAAAGTGTTCATTTCCCATTATCTCAGCTGAGCACGAAAAAAAAATTCTTACTATTCTTTTCCAGAAATCACCTCCCAAAACAGTAATTTCCCCGAGATAATTATAATTTATTTAACGTAAGTTCTAAGTAGACAGATTCATATAATTATATCCATAAATCATCTCTGAACATAAGCATTAGTTCAAAGCCTGGTGCATGAGTGCTCAATGAATGTTTGCTAAATAGATGAAATAATATTATACTCTGGTTAATGAACTGACATACTATGCTTTGCCAGGAGTATTTGCATGTATAACATGCCTTTTGGTTGTGTACAATTAAATGCAAGTTAAACTTATTACAAAAGTTTAAAAATTTTAACTCCATACAAAACATCTCTGCCATGACATTAATTACCACTCCAAGCACCATGCATCTGACAGCCGTGTGGCAATGGCGTGAACAACATACAAAGCCAAAAAACAAAAGGGTCTAATTCAAATACTATATATACATATACGAGGTTCTCTGATTTTTGGTCCAAATTCTAGTATCCTTTGTGCAATAATGATTACGGTTCTTTCACTGAGTGGGTGCAGCAAGAAGTCAAAACTAGAAACTGAAGTTATGGGGGCGTCTACACTTTTTACAAAGAATATGCCTCACATTGTTAGGTTCCCTCAAGTCAAAGGAGAGTCTGTCTAAGCATTTTAGGAGTCACAATCTAAAAACTCCTAGAAGCAACTAATAATCAAATGCATTAAACGCTCATTTTAACTTTTCCTAGTGGCGTTTAATGCAGGAGAGGCAGGCAGGGAGCAGTTCTTTAAACTGCACAGCGCAAAATGCCAGCGAGGGCCCGGTATGCCCAGAATGCCGCATGGCGCGGGAGAGCTCTCCTCACAGCCTACACTACAAGTGTACATAGCGCCTAGAACTGGGGTGCTGAGAAAGGGGGAAGAGCATTTTTGAACCGGGCGCCAAAGACGCACTGCACAGATACAGGAACTGACGGAACCCGAGGCGTTCGAAAGTACGTATCCTACTCCCGCCTTTGGGACACTGACCTGGGAGCCACCGTGGCGCCCGCTGAGGCAACGAGGCAAGCAGCGTGTTGAAGCCACAGTGGGGACCGAAGAGGACAGCTGCCCAGCCCCAGCTCCGACAAGGTACCCAGGCCGCCACAGTGGCCATGCGCGCAACCGCCATCTTCCCGGCTGTCCCGGCACGCCGCAGCGTCCCACAAAAGCGACCCCTGCGCACCGGAACTGAGACTGCGCATGTGCTGAAGGCTGGAAGGCGGAACTTGCTGAAGGGCGCCCCGCGCTATTTTCAACTTGCGAAGAGCGCACATGCGCAGAGCGTCGTGGCTCATGCCCTTCGTTTGGGGCTGTTGGTTCTACTTGTAGCAAGGTTTGGCTTAGGGCCTTTGGGATGTTTTGAGTGGCGTCGGGAGACTGCCCTATCAGCGGGCTGAGAGATAATACAGAGCTGGAAGCTTGGAAAGGAACCCTATCCAGCGGCCCTGGATTGGAAGCTGCAATCCCGCCGACCGTGTGACAGTTTTAACCAGTAGCAGAAATGCTCCCGGTATCTGACATTAATCTCGCCTGTATAACCTGGAATGGAATCGGACTTTCCCTGCTCTAGACGTATGTGACTGATTAATGAAACATGAATTATCTTGGCCCCTTCCTTGTGCTATATGGAAAAGTAAATTTCAGTTAAAAAAAAAAAGATTTCAACGAAGAATACAACTGAGAGGATTAAATAAATTTTAGGAGAATATTTTATAGTCCGGAGGTAGAAGGGACCTTCTTAACCAAAATTTCAAACCCCAAGATCATAAATAAAAAATATATTTGTATACGAATTTACTTTTTGAATGGCAAAAAACACCTTAAGAGCCTAGAAAAATAGATTTTGTAGCATAGCTACATTAATATTTCTAGTTCAGCCTGCTCCTAGAAATAAAAAATATAATTCCAATAAAACTGGCCAACAACTATGAATAGGCTCCTCATAGGAAACATGATGCTCAACCTTACTAAGTGAAAACCTAGAATTTAAAAAAGAAAACCATTTCCCCCCATTCAGCTGGCAAAAAGGAAAAAGAAATAATTGGCAATGAGTCATGACACTTAGGTATGATTGCTAAGAAAGCGAATTGCTAAAATTTGTTGTCAAGTAATATGGCCACATCTATCACAATTTTAAAATATGCATCATTTCCAATGCCTTTTAACACAGTGGCACGTGTTTGTGACTATCCTGTAGAAAACAACACTAGTTCTTAAGACTGCATATTATCTACTATAACACCATTTTTAGAGGCAAAGAGAAGGAAAAAAAAAAGGGAATGGCTAACAATAGAAAAATAGTTGAATAAATTTGTAGTAACAGGGTTTCCAGATTCCAGCTCTGAATACCTTTCACACTAATTCCCGGGGGCCTCAAGCATTAACCAGTAAGGTTTTATCTAGTAGTTTCCTATATAAAAGTTACGGTGGCTTGTGTAATACTTTGAGTAAATGTAAGATAGTAAAGTAACTTTTACTATCCTGAAGACAGCTAAGTAACTTTTACTATCTTGGTTATAAATCTGGGGGACAGTAATTGGTACCAGAGTTAAAGGCAAAGTTTGGATATAGTGAATCCAGCATATGTTTGCAGTCTGAAGAACCTGGACTGTTGGAACAGTCGGGAATAGCTAGAGAAATAAAGACTGAATAGATCTCTCTCTTTGAGAGGTGGGATGCCTCTCATCTACTAATGACATTAGTAAGGACAGCAACTTGAATTCAGGACATACTCCAAAAGATGCTGAGCTATGTTGCCCATTCTCCATTAGACCTGTTGTAGACTCTAAGGGACTAAATCACTAAGGTGATGCCTGATGCATGTCATTTTATCAAGCCTTCTATCTTCCCCCCCCTCCCCCGAGGTGGAGTCTCATTCTTGTTGCCCAGACTGGAGTGCAATGGTGTGATCTCAGCTCACTGCAACCTCCACCTTTTGGGTTCAAGTAATTCTCCTGCCTCAGCCTCATGAATAGCTGGGATTTCAGGCATCCTTCACCATGCCAGGCTAAGTTTGCATTTTTAGTATAGACGGGGGGGTTCACCATGATAGCCAGGCTGTTCTTGAAATTGTGACCTCAGGTGATCCACCCACCTTGACCTCCCCTGCACTGGAATTACAGATGTGAGCCACCATGCCTGGCCCATCCCTTTAAGATAAAAGGATAAATAAACACAGTCCTAGCAATCCTCAGCAATAAATGTTATCTGTGTAAACAGACAGTAAGATGTCAGATTTTTTCAGGGTTCATTTCATTTTGTAAGCAATAGGATGTAACCAGAGATAATTCTATTGAAATTCTTCAATTTATAGACTACAAATCATAACGTTAGCACACAACAATCTTTACATAGTTCCTACAACTGTCGTCTGCAATTAATTCATACTCCATCATACTACAGATAGGTAACTTCAAAATAAGAGATGAGTTTATTTTCAAATGTGAAATCAGGTCAACATTTTAATCTAAACTCATTATATTTAACACACATATTTAAGAGGCTTACTACATCATGCAATTCGATTAGAACACCTTCACAATCCTATGAAGAGATTACAGTGCAGAAAAGTCGTAACTTTACATTAACCAACGAAATCTTAACAATTATAGTCTTATATCACTACAGGATTTCAAAGTGATCTCTGCAAAATCAGATTTTAGAAATGTCTTCCACAATTATGACTTTTGTCCTTCACTGTTCAAGTAAAACGTTGTGTCATCCAGTTGCAAAATACTATTGACAACATGTATATGTGTATACGAACCACACTGCAAATTAACAAAAGAATTGTACCCAGTCAGGCCTGACAAAGTTTAATGAAGAGATACTTCTAATCTAATCATTTAATCTTGTAAGTAATATCATTATTCTCTACATCTATTCATTTGCGGTGTTTTAGGAAAGAGCACATTCATACTTGCAAACATGCAAAACATGATAAACGAGAATAAATGGCACTTGAAAAACCATTATGAAAGAGACTTGCCTGAAGTCATTTCATCTGACAAAAATTGACTCAAAAAAAAAAAAAAAAACAAAAAACAAAGGCTAATTGTAAAAAAAATACATAATATAATAATGCATTATAGAGAATGTTAAGTTGAACTTCATTTGCCATTTTGTAGAACTACACCACTTCTGCAAATAAGTATTTTAATTGGTCTGTTCTTTGGTGAAAACAGAGCTGTAATTTCATACCTATGTCAAGGGTGCAGTTAGCAGGTGTGCCCCACAACAAAAAGAAATCAGACAATCTAAAGGACACTGGCTACTGGTTGCCCTTATTCTCAGCACCAGGAATGGAGAAATCTTCAGCAAAACAAGCTCCTAACATCAGATATTCTCTTTATTTAAAATTGTTTAATATGACAGAATGCCTGTTGCATAACATGGCTTTTTTTTCTACAACAAACAGCTTTTTGCTTTCTTCTTCTACAAAAAGTGGTTTACTCTCTATATATACAGTAGCTTATACCAGTGGCGACACTGCAAAGTCAATTTCCTGGGCATTTGATGGCACTGAAATACCATTTTGAGATATTTAGAGCAATACAAAATGCAGTTCATCACTTGCAGTTACTACTGTTAAACAGAAGTCAGCCCAGGTCTTTGGTTTTGGTGCAGTACTTAAAAATTAAGGCAAAACTCCTCCTAAAATGTATTTCCCTCCAAGCCCTTATTTGCTTGTTTACAAAATAACTGTCAGCAAAATGCTACCTTTTTTGAAACGCCAGTCGATTACCAATCATGTCAATGCCAATGATTTGGGTGCTAAAGTTATTCTGTATTTCCAAGTACATATAGATATTTTCTAACCTGTTTAGTTTATTTAACTAAAACCAAAAGTTGATTAAGAACAGTTTATATGAAATGTTCGTTTATCAAAATAGTGTTTTCTTTCTCATGGGAGCTTCAATTCTTTTGCTATTTATTGTCAAGGTTTGTATTAAAACCCTTTCTTTCTTTTTTACAAATAACTTCTCTTGATATGAAAGGAGTTCTGAGGATATACAACTCAAGCGCTGGATCTGTTGGGTTTTCTCATCTGGGATTGAATATGGCTTCATTCTTGTAAGAGATTATTGCAGTCTGCCCTGAAGTGGACCGTTGTCTCAGTTCACTACAACAAGAAGTGAGTGTAACCTTCTGCCCCCGTAACTATAACATCCATCCAGATCCGCATGGCTTCTGGTGATGGGGCTACCATGTAATAGATTCTGTCATGAGTCTTGACGCTAAAGGTGAGTAACGGATTAGGACTCTAAAATTCAAAAAAGAAAAAAGAATATAAAACACACATCTTAAAATACATCTTAAATAACACAGACATGTGAAGACTTCTTCAAAATTTCCAATTTATTAAATTTACAAAGGCATTACTTATGCTCTAATATAACTTGCACCCCCACCCCAGAGCCTTTTTCAGGACTGACCGTTTTTCTGACCTTTCTCCACAAGAAATCTCAGACAGAGCTCATGAATTATTTCAGCAGCTAGTTTGTAAAGCTCTAGCAGGGTACCTAGCTGAGAATAGGAGCTTAATAAATAGTAGCTGTTATTCTTAGCCCTACTAAGCCCCCTCTTAACTATATGGTAGCTTCTTTTTAGAATCCTGGCAGAGTAACTCTTTAGGATTTCCCAAACCATTACATCCAGAATATTTCCTCAATTTGCTATGACATTTTTTTCCCTCAAAAAGATCAGCCATCCCACTTACTTCATGTTTACTTTTCCAGCACCATCTTGATCATATCTATCTGTTATATCAGAACATCAACTTCAAACTGCTTAGACTCCAAAAATATTTTTCCCTTCTTAATTATGGATTCAAATTGCAGGAATGTAGAAAATTGGTATTTACCTTATTAGCATTCTTGAGGTGATCATAATACACTTCTTCAATGGCTTGAAAGTATATTACTCCTTTCAATTTCGTTTCATGCTTGTCTGCAAAGACAGATGAGTGTTAAATACTTTATCGCCACTGAGGAACAGAAAAAATAATAATTTCATTACAATTACAATCATTAAAATATTTACACAGTATTTAATCACCTAAGATTAACTCAGAGAACTTGGGCTAGTGCCTTAGGCCTCTTCTATCTATATTGGAAAAATTTAAAAAGCAATAAAATTACTAGCTGCAAACCAAAGAGACTAGATGACTTTGCCCAAGGCTGTCCAGCAGATTAGCAGTCAAAAGATAACCTAACATACTGACTTTCAAGTTAGCACGGAAAGTATAAACACTAATGGCACCAATACAAATGATTTCTCCACATTTTCCAA